TGTTGCCTAAACCGCAAAAGTGGGCGTTGCTGGGCTGTGAATCGGGTCGAGGTCAGGGAGCTTGGGGGTGGGGGATCGGAAGGAGTTTTCTCTTACCCTTAAGGGAGCTCTTTAAGGGTGTGGCGTTTAGTGGCTTAGGGCTCCTTTAAGAGAGCCCTTTATAGGAGGCATCCCTTCATGGAAGTTTGAAGTGGAGACTCCGGGCTTCCGTCCAAGCTAGGCCCGTTGTCCTGGTCGCCGCATGAACACCTAAACCCTGAACCCTAAACCCTCAACCCTAAACCCTAAACCCTAAACCCTGAACCCTAAACCCTCAACCCTAAACCCTAAATCCTAAACCCTCACCCTTGTTTTCACAGTCAGCTTTTGCCTTGGCTTCCACCGAAGCGTTCTTTGAAGCAACCTGCAGCCATGCGGCCACCCAGCATACAACTTCCAAAAGGTGCAGAACCCTGAACCAGAAGCCCCCCCCCCAAAAAGCCCTAGAGACCAGAAATTCAGAAACTCCCAGGCGGCCCAGGAGAAGCTCGGCCAGCAAGCCGTCCTGACGGACCTGACATCAACAAAGACCGCCTGGTGCGCCGCAGCGAAGTCGGATGTTGGGTTGTTGGAGATGGGTAGTTTTCTAAATTAGAGTCCCTTTTTGGGTCCCCAATATAGTACGGCACCCCTTCTAAAAGGGACCCGAAAAAGGGACCCTAATTTATAGAACTACCCAGATGTTGTGCCAGCATTGCAACGAAGACTGCTTCTGCTGCTACTGTTGTCCCGGCAATAATTACCACCACTACTGTCACTACTACCACTACCACTACTACTGCCATTACAACCACTGCGACTACTACCCTTACTACCCTTACTACCACCACTCCCATTACAACCACTACTTCGACCACACTACGACGACGACTGCTACTACCATGCCTGCTGCTGCCATTGGTAGTACTACGACAGAGATGACTCTGATTACTGTTGGGAGTAGTATATAGTAGAAACGACATGCACGTTCGACAGATTTTCAGTGCTATCGCAGGTCTTGTCACTTGTGCAGGATGGGTCATGCGGGGTTCTTCCTTTCAGCATGGCTACCGTCATCGCGGATGATTGTCATAGTTGCTTGTACTTGCTTGCGCTTGAAATTTCGTGCCCGCACGAGGGACATTACTGCTGTTCATCGCTAGTAGTTTAGCTGTTGAAAGCAGTCGGTGCTGACGGGCAGCAGCCAGCTGTGCCCTGCGCGCTCGAAAACAACCGCTTTGTCTTCTTGCAGCCACGGCCTCGAATGCTTTCCGCTCGAATGCCAGACCTTCTGCCTCGCTAGCCTCATCGGACACAAAGTGACCGCGTCCTTGAGAAACAATGTTGGCGACTCAGGAGGGGAAGAATCGCCGGGAAGAGTAGGAATGGTCATCATATCGTCATCACCATGAGCATCAGCCACGAGCATCATCAGAATCAGGGCTGTTGTTTACCGTCGAGCCTTTTTTCCACTACCTGCATCGTTGCCATCAGCATCACCATCACGGGCACCGGCACAGGCACCCTCACCGCTGCCGCCGCCACCACCACCAGCGCCACCACCACCCACCACCACCACCACCACCACTACCACCACCACCACCGCCACCACCGCCATTAGCCTAGCCGCCACCATGCCGGCTGCATCACGAGGATCTAGTCAAGGTTGTGTGCTTTGATCTTTCGTGGTCGCGCAAGTCTTGGGTTGGCACCCCACTGTTCAGTGTGCTTGAGACGAAACGTCTGCAGTAGCAAGTGCATCGTTTGACTTCATACCGGAAGTGTCAGCCAATCTTGGACCCTACAAACGCCCAACCTTCTGTGACTCGCTGCAGCTCCAAAGACCACAAGAACATTGATGCTGCTACCTCATCGTTCGAGTCTGGTCAACCCTGCCTCCCAGGTTATGTACGAGGGCACCTTTCATAGGCATTCGCCTTGGGCGACGCTGTTTCAGGGTTCCGGAAGGGACAACTGTCTTACAGGGGGTTGAGGCCTTCCGACGCTTGTGGGGTATCTTGCTATGGAGCTTGAACAGATATGCTTCTCCAGAACCCGGTAGTGAGAGTGTCAGTTGTGGCTGTGCTTGTGTGCCCGCGGGGCCCCGGAGCATCCCCGACATCTTGCAATAGCACGGGTATGGAGGGAGTCGTTGTGGGTTCTGGATACCGAGCCTTCCGAGACAGCACGGAGGTCTGGGAGATACTACAAAAACTGCATTGAGTAGTACCAGCGATGATCATCATTGTGGCTGCGCCTGGTGGTAATGGTGGCGGCTGAAGCAGCATTTGCAGGGTGCAGCTGGTGATGGTGACGATGTTCGTGGTAGCGTGACGAGGGTGGTTGTTGTGATTGCTGCTGTTGTTGGTGGTAATAGTGGCGGTGGTTGTGGTGACTGCCTGGGCTGACTTTTGGTGGTGGTGGTGAGCAGCGAGAGTGGTGATCAGACTAAGCAGTGCGGGTCGTGCCTCCATCTCCCTGCTGCAGCTGTGCCTTGGACAGCGACTACTCGATCACGCTGAAGACGGCTCGAAGGCGCTTGGGGCGCATTTGTTTGAGGGGTTGTTTAGTTTGTTCGTCCTTGTCTGGATTCCGTGATTGATCATGTAAGTTGTCTTGCCGGTGGGCGTCTTTGCTGATTTCGAGACGAGTCGTCGGGCAGGGTCCGAAAAGGAAACTTCCAAGCTCGGGAAGGCTGCAGTGGGTTTCTGATGCCCAGGCCGGAAGCAGGGAAGAGAGCTCTGCTGTCCCAGGCTTCCGTCCGAGAGCAACAACAAGAGCGGCGAGGTTGTGGCCGGCTCAGTTCAGGTTGAGCCCCAACGCATCGTTCCCCTTATCGTCATCCTGAGCATCAGCATCAGCTCTTGCTCGAAGCCGGGCTTCCTGAATAAGAGTAGCCTTTTGTTGGTGCTGTGAGCCCGCCATACTTCATTACGTTTCAACGTTGTGGTGTAGCGGTATAGCATAGTGCAGTACTGCGGAAACAACGAGCACAAGTTGTGCTATGGTTAAGCACCTTGCATCAGGTTCTATGAGTTCTACGATCGTATGAAGTCGTATCATATCATACCATATCATATCATATCATACCATATCATACTTGCACCATTTTGCACATGCTGAATGTGTTCAATCATCAGATCATAGTCCCGCAAAAAACCGGATCCTAATCTGCAAGGACCCTGAAAGAAGGTACCTCCAATGCTTAGAAACCCATATTTTTACAACATACTATACTCCATTGTACGCTGTACTGTACGCTCTACTGTACTGTACTATCCTGCTTCGCCTCCTTCCGTTCTGCTGAGATCGACATGCTGGTCATCTCCGGGAAGGACTTCCTCCAGGCCGGGCCCAAAGCGGAGAGCAAATGTCTCCAATGAGGGTTTCCCCCCTAAACCCTAGACCCTGAACCCTGAACCCTGAACCCTGAACCCTGAACCCTGAACCCTAAACCCTAAACCCTAAACCCTACGGGGCGTGGGGTTCGGGGTTGAAGGTTTTGGGCTGTGGAAGTTCGGGCTTGGGGTTGGATCTCGCACTTTCGGCGTGGGGGCTTCGTCTTTGGGGTTACCTAGGGGCTTTATAGCTAAACCCTAAACCCTAAACCCTAAATTGGGTTTTAGGATCCTCATCTTGTTTCAGAAGGGGTGCATGTGAAGCTTCGGGTCCCAAGAGGCTTTCCGGGTTCCAAGGTTTTGCGATTTCAGGGTTTAGGGTTTAGGCTTTGGGGGGCTTGGAGGTTTCAGTTTAGGATTGAGGGTTTGGGCACTCTAGTCTAAGGCTGTAGGTCCACCCTCCAAGCCAAAAAGCCTGGAGAGAACCCTCAGCCCGAAGACTCTGAACTCTCGGACCTGCCCCTCAGACCTCCACACCCACAAGCCCCCCTAAACTCTCACTAAACCCTAAACCCTAAACCCTAAACCCTAAACCCTAAACCCTAGATTCCTCGAGCCCCAAGCCCCCAAGAGCCTCCCCTCCGGGCCCTGAAGCGCGTCGCTGCGCAGGTTTCGGCCATGAACGTGCCGCCGCCATCTCGGGAGAGCGAAGGTGGAGCCTCGATCCGTAATCTTGGTTACCTGATCCCGCAGGTTTGCCGCTGAACTCTCAAAGCCTAAAGTGTGGCGCCTAAGCCCTCATTACGCTGAGCTCCCTTTCGAAGCCTGAATCTTACATACCATACTGATCCTCGAGGACGCAATCCCAAGGTTCGAATCGCGAAGGCTCCAACCACAAAATTCGGACCCCTAGCTCAAAATGGTTGGGTCTTAATTTATATCCGAGTACGGACTGTGGGGACACTACGAACAAAAGCCGGCGGGTTAAGTCAGACCCAAACACTCTGAAGCCCTGAAACACTCCCACCCCTGATCTTACACCGACGCCGCATGGTCAGCGCTTAAACCTCAAGGCCTAAATCCTGCACTCGAGGTCTATAAGCCTTTGACTGGGGGCTCCCCCCAGCAGAGTGGCCTCCCCCTGGTGCAGGCCGTAAGGGCTTCGCTACCGATGCAGAGATCAGCGGGAGCCCGGAGGGGGGGGGATGTAGGACTGTTGTCGATTGTTGAAGGCTTGGCCTTCGATTCCGGCCGACCTCGGGCGGTTTCTGGAAGGCCTCCTAAGTCCCCCCACCGGAGAGCAGAGGGTTTGGTTCCAGGCCGGACTGAGGAGAGAGATGGAGAGTCGAGAGTTGAGAGGTCTTAGCTCTGTGCTGCAGAGTTGAGGACCAGAAGTTACCAGACACCCAAGCAAAACATGACGGTTTCGGAGAAGCATCTTCCCTCATGGGTAGCGGTTTCGAAGCATGCTTCTACGATGACTTCCATAGAACTTGTCTTCCGAGGAACCCAAAACCCCAAACTGTAGGACCTTAGGGCATGTCGATGGACGGAAGTTGCTGCCTTGCTTCTGCCACGTCACCTCGGCCGAATGTGCTGCCGTTCTGAGGGTCTCCGAGCAACTCCTGCGCGCATGTACAGACTATGGCGACGGGAGCTTCCCGATTCCGACGGGCAAAGGGGGCGGTTACAACTGGCTTGGTGCCGGCCGCGAAAACAGTACAGACGGATGCTGGATGGGAGCTCATCTTTGGCGAGGATGTGGCTTTGGAGTGCTTTCGTTTTATTTTGACGAGCTTGTAGTTGCAGCTTCGTGTGATTATTCTCAAGAGACATTGCAATATGTGCTTGCACCTGTCGCCAAAAGCTACTCCCTCTGCAATCCGCCAGCAGCTCTGTACCTCTTCCCACAAACTTTCCCGTGACGTTATTGCGTCGCAAGTTTGCTCCAACTTGCTCCAAACCCTGAACCCTAAACCCTGAAACCTCTACCCAATTCCCGAAACTCGAAACCCCAATAGAAACCCTAAACCCTAAACCCAAAACCCAAAACCCAAAACCCTAAACCCTAAACCCTAAACCCTAAACCCTGACTGCTCCCCCAGAGTCTCAGGTGGAGAACCCGGAAGTCTTGGAGCAGCACCGGTTCGGCTTGCAGATGGCGCTCCTTGGACAGGGACCCTCGGCCCCGGAGAGGAACTGTAACCTGGTTCTTCTTTCCGTGAGGGGGTAAGACTTCAAAGGGTTTAGGGTGTAGGGTTTAGGGGAGACTGAGTTTCTGAAGACTGAAACTCTAAACTCTAAACCTTAAGCCCTAGCCAGGAACGCCGGAGGGCTTCGTGGATCACGAGTTTCCTGCGCAAGCCCGGAGCATTGATGGTCTCCAGGGCCCGGCCGTCCGCCGCGGCCAGGAGACTCTGATGGAGCTCTTGAAGACCGTGGACCAGGAGGAGGAGTAGTCGTAGAAGTAGTAGTAGTAGTAGTAGTAGTAGTAGTAGTAGTAGTAGTTAAATGAGTATAACAGCTATATTACTGTAGTAGCATTACTTTTGCAAGCTTGCTATAATACTAATACTACTATGTCGATTATTACTAGTTGCCATTAGTCTTATTGTTATTAGTATTACTATGATTCTGATTATAGTAGTATTATGAACAGAGGAGGACGAGGAGGAGGAGCTGGCTCCGGATGCCCCGCGCTGCCCCTGCGGCCGACGCTCCCGGCAGGGGCGGATCCAGCTGCCGGGGGCCGTGGCCCGGCGTCCCTACTTCCGCTGCGCCGCGCGCGCCTGTCGCTTTTTCAGCTTCGGAGAGTTCCCGGTGACGCCGGAGGCGCAGGCTCTCTCCTGGGTACGGCTGCGAGCCATCTCCCCGCAACAGATGACGATGACCGGTCAGCATTTGGTCACGGTGGGACGGGATGGCTTCCGACCGGAGGATGCGCGCCTGGGTCCGGAATGCGAGTCCTTGGGAGACACGCTGTTTGTGGATGCACTTGCAGTGCTGACAGAACGGCCGAGAGCTTTGCAGAAGCTCCTGCCGAACACATCGGCAACGGCAGGCTGCCACGAGATCCGACTCTGCATCGAGGGCATCTGGCGATCACTGCTGCTTGACGAGCGCCTGCCAATGACCTCTTCTAGCCAGGCTCCCGGTGTAGACAAGAAGAACTTTCACGAGCTGCTGGCTTTTGGGCGCTGTGCGGGCAACCAGCTCTGGATCCCATTGCTAGAGAAGGCATATGCCAAGGCGCACGGGGCCTACCAGTTTGCCTTTCCTGGCACAGCTCTGCACGTCTTCTTAGAGGAGCTTACGGGTGCGGTCGTGGAACAGGTCCAGCTTGGGAAGCCCAGTCGAAGCAGCTCCGGGGAAGCTCTGGATTCTGAAGAGCTCTGGGAGTTTTTGCTCCGCCACCAGCGAGAGGGCACTCTCCTTTGCTGCGTCTCGCGGTATCCCCTCCAGACCTCCGCCCCTTCGGCCTTTGCGGTGCTGGAGATGCAGGGACAGGGCTCCAAAGGTCGGGCCGTGCGCCTCCGGAACCCACGGGTCACTGGAGTTCAAGCTACATTGGCCTACGAGCGCATCCTCTCCCTTTTGCGGGGTACCCCGGCTGAGGCGTCGACCTATGCCGATGGCTCTTTCTGGGTTCAGTTTTCGGACTTCCTCACCGGCTTCTCACAGGTATGTATCTGCCATGCCTCCTCCACCGGGGGCTCCCTTCTCCACACGCGGACCTTCGAGGGAGACTTCACGCCCGAGCGCGGAGTTGGGATCCGCGGCTGCAGCCTTCGCCTGGCCGCGCATGCCGGCACGGAGCCCTGCGAGGTTTGGCTCTCTCTCCTACAACCGATCCCAAAGGGGGCCCGGCTCCTGCAGCCATCCATGGGGCAGGCATCTTGGCTTCATCACCCGTTTGCATACTCGATCAGAGTTAGTGTATGCAAGTATGAATGCATAGACTCGTGGTTCTATGTAGCTTCGAAAATTTTCCAGAAGCAAACCAAATGCCCTATATGATAAGCCTGTATCATGTGCAATAATAAATTCCTCAACCTGTCGTCTATGTATTGAGGCTCTGTCGGTCTATCCATGATCCTGTCGATTCTTCCATCTCTCTTGATCTCTGTCCCCCTAAACCCTATAAACCCCTAAACCCTAAACCCCTAAACCCGAAACCCTAAACCCCTAAACCCGAAACCCTAAACCCCTAAACCCACCTCTACCGGGCATGACCGAAAGCCTGAGCAGCCCAAGGCCCCGCACCACCGGAATCCCAGGTTTTGAACGACCTCTCCCTGGTGGTCCTGGATGCTTCCACCGGCGAGGCTCCCACCCAAAAGCCGCAAAAGCCCCAAGAGCCCCCAAAAGCCCCCAAAAGCCCCCAAGAGCCCCAAAAGCCCCAAGAGCCCCAAAAGCCCCAAAAGCCCCCAAGAGCCCCAAAAGCCCCAAAAGCCCCAAAAGCCCCAAGAGCCCCCAAAAGCCCCCAAAAGCCCCCAAAAGCCCACATCTATGACCCTACAGTCCCTTACCCCGAAAGTTCGTTGAATCCCAAAGTCTCAAACCCCGAAGTCTGAAGCCTCAGTGACTCCCCATACACGCCGATGCCCTCCCAGCCGCGTCCGACCATAGTAAGCCTTATAGACGTATATGATGTAGAGCTCATTTTCAAACTTTTACAGTATAGAGAACCCTTATAGAGGAGAGCACGTATAGGCCCCCTTATAAAAGCCGTATAGGACCTCACCCTAAACCCCAAATTCTAAATCCCTCAACCCCTAAGCCCCTACACCCCTGAACCCTCTAAACCCTAAACCCCTGAACCCCTAAACCCTAAATTCCTGAACCCTACACCCTCATAGTAGCATAGTAGCCCTTCGACCGAAATCTCGCGAAGAGGTGGCCGCGGCGGCCCTCTTCGGGGCCCGGCAAAGCGGGAGCTGTCGCGTAGCGCTGGCACCTCACCAGGCTCCTCCAAGTTTGGGGCACCAAAAACCCTATTCCAGTTCTGTAGCCCTCTACTATTTTTTTTTTGTGTGTGTTTGTGTGTTCTTCTATTTATTTTATTTCTTATTTGTTTATTTTTGTCTCAAGGCCAAAGTGGCTTAGTGTTGCTCAAAGTCTGCTGGCCATAACCCTAACGCTTTCAGAACCGCACCCAACCAATTGCAAACCCAAACTTCTGAAGCCAGGACCTTTGCTTGCTCTTCTAAATCCCTAAGCCGGGACGCTAAACTACACTCCAAAGTTAGCCCCATAGCCTTAAAGTTATAAGATGCAGCCTTAAACCCCTAAGCCCTAAAGCCCATGTGCTCGAAACAAAAGGTGGCGAACTGGCTGGTAGTGCCCTTCAGCCGTCGGGCATGGCCAGGAGCCGTGTGCCCCGGCTACCAGAAAGTTGGCGTAGAAGAGAGGCTTAGTGCTGCGGGCTTCCAGGCTCTCGGGTTTTTTGGGTTTTGGATTCTGCAGATTCTGGATTGAAGATGATAGGTTTTCAGGCTGCTGGGTGGGAACATCACCTTGAAGCCCCCTAAACCCTAAACCCTAAACCCTAAACCCTAAACCCAAGGCGGCTGCGGGTACATGCGTCGCAGCCCGTGGAAGTGCAGCGGCTGTCATCGGAGCATCACGAAAGGCCTGCAAATCCGGCAAGAGTCCCCAGGGACTCCAATACCCCTTAATTAAGGTATACCTTAAGAACCCCAAACCCGCTTTTTTTTGGTAGGTTCTTATTATAAACCCTAATATGGGATTTATAGGGACCCTACAAAAAAGGTAGGTTTTGGGTTCTTAAGGTATACTTCAAACTATAGAGGATCCCTAGTATGATTTAGGGTATATTCCTTAATTAAGGGGTATTGGAGTCTCTGGGTCTCCTTCTCTGGAAGTAGCGCTCAGGAGTCAAGGAACGTAGGAATTTGCCCAGAGTCCAGTTTCGGGGCATGGGTCCTGCTACATCGATGCTGTGGCCCTCTACTTACATGTGCCCCAAGCCCTACGCATGCTAGAACAGTATCGCGTTCTTGCTTGATTCTTATCTGATAGAGCTCTTACGGAAGGTTTGGCAAAAGCCTGTTAACCCTAAACCCTAAACCCTAATCCCCAAACCCTAAACCCTAAACCCTAATCCCTAAACCCTAAAGCCTAAACCCGAATCCTTTTGAAGTCTTGAACCAACCGGAGTCCCTGAGCTCCCCAGAGACTCCAAGACCCCTAAATTAAGGAATATACCCTAAATCTTCTTAGGGATCCTACTATAATTTAAGGTATATTCCTGAAATAAGGGGTATTGGAGTCCCTGAGCTCCTTGCAGGGAAGCGCCTTGGAAGCCGCTCTGGACCATGGTGTCGGCCGCAGCACAGGGCACGGACGGCTCCGCCCCGGCGCTGCGCGGGGGCCTGCGGAGCGCAGGCTGCGCTGTGAGGAGGGCCGTGAGCGTGACAACGGCTGCAGGAGAGCGGAAGATGGCTTGCCTGCAATGTACCAAGCGAAGTTTCCACTGTTTTGTAGAGTGGGCGTGCTTGTTGTGTGATGGACTGTAGGAGAGATAACAGCAGTGACGGTCGATCTGTTGGAGCTTCGGGCGGAGGGTGTCGTGGTGCTTCTCCTGGACAACACCTTTGCGAAGCACGCCTTGCTCTTCGAAGGTGCAGTTGAGGGCAACTTCGTGGTCACACAGACCTCTCGTGGACAGCAGGTGGGAGACTGGTGCGGGGAAAGGAACGAGGAAAGTTTCAGTGCCGGAGCCCGCACGCAGTGGCGCCGCTTCAAGGTGGAGGATGTTGTGCCCCCGGCCTCGCGGCAGATGCTCTCGATACACTTCGCAACAGGCACGGATTGGGAGACCGAGCTACTTGGCATGAAGGCCGTGGTTGTACCGGTGGCGATGGTTGGGGCTCGGCCCGCGAACCACCCCTTCGCCCCGTACGCCATCCGTGGCGAGGACTCCTTTTTCCGTCAGTGGCGGTTTTAAGAGTTTGAGTTGCAGGTTTCTGTATCGCTGATAAGGCTTGGGACAGCTTGAAATGTGGAAGTCTGGTTCTCAGGACTCTCTGCCACCGGGCCTCGCCGTGGTCCAGGAGGGCACTGGCGAAGGGTCCGCTTCCGGAGGACCGTCGTCGGAAGCTGTGGAGTCGCAAGAGGATGCGGAGCTGCAGTTGGCTCTGCAGCTGTCGATGCAGGAACTGCAGGAACGGGAAGCTCAGCCGAAAGTCGGAGAGCCGCGCCAGCGCTGGAAACGCCGCAACAGGGCCGAGGGAGGCAGCGAACCGAAGAGCTGCTGCGAGCTTCTCCCCGAAGGGCCTTTGAGGGCCATGCAATGCTGCGCCAAAGTCTGCCGGACCTGCGCCGTGCGATGGGCCACGGAGCAGGAGGCGCAGGGCCTCGCTGCCACGGAGATCCAGTGCCCGCAGTGCCAAGCTGCAGTCGAAGAGGCCGTGCTCCGCCGCCTGCTGAGCAAAGAGGCCTTTCAGCGGGCCAAGGAGCGCCTGAAGCCACGGCCAACAGCCGCCCCTCCGCCCGAAATCCCCAGCACGACGATGGCGCGCCTGGGTCTGAAGCAATGCCCCGGCTGCGGAGAAGGTCTCCAGAAAGAGTCCGAGACCTGCCACAAGATGATCTGCCGCAGCTGCCGCGCCCGGTTCTGCTTCCGGTGCCTCATGCGCCTGGCGCCTTGAATGCCCCAGAAAGGCAAGTTTATTCATAGTCATATTACAACTAAAGGACCATAGGATCCCGTCGTTTGCTTAAGGCCTCCATGTTTGGGTTTCAAGTTCTTTCCTTTCTCAGATTCCCAAGTTACTTGAGGAGTACTTCAACTGCGGCTGCACGGGTGCAGAGCACCGCTTCGTGGATCCAGTAGACGGCCGGTTACTCTACTGCTCTTAGGAATTACGTTCATCTTTCTTATAACATAACTTTAACTCCAGGGGATTAATAAAAACTCAATTTTTTTTTTCTGGTTCTAAGGGCGGCTAAGGTTACTCCTGCACCAATAGCCGCTCAAGTGCCTCGCAAGGCACCTTTCGGGGAGTGCAGGGTCTGAGGGTTATGGTTTCGAGATATGTAGAGCATAGGGATTATAGCATTTGAGGTTCAGGGTTTCGGGCAGGGGTCATACTTGTAGAGAAAGTAGGGCGAATGATGTCGATGCAGTATATTTCCAAGGCCAATGTTTGTAGCTATGGCCGAGCATTAACACCCAGTAATCACTCCTGGTGTATACTGTGTAGAAGGGCACCCTCCAACATTGACATGTGGTGTTAACGCGTCTTGTCATGAGCAGCCACTCGGACCGTTGATTCGACATTTAGGGTGTTCAGGTGTCCAGACTTCAGGCGAGTCAGGTCTCACACCGCCAATTGGTTACATCCGATTCTAGCCTTCCTGAGGGGCTTCCAGTTTACGGTTTGAGGGATTCACGGTTTCGGGGTTTTCGCACTGGGTTTCTTTGGCGTTTAGTTTATCGGTTTGGGATTCTGGAGTCAAGCTCTCTGCAGGCACCGGGGCCCTCGCTGAATTTTTCGCGCGCCGGCCGACGAAGAGCGTCGCGGGCGCGCCCGATGACAGCCGTTGGGCCCCCTGTGGACAGAAAAAGAACCTACAGTATATGATATTATACTATACTAAACTATAACGGGTTATATCAAATAACAAAATGTAAGTGTATAAATTTTCTAGTATAAATTCCATATTATATATGGTATAGTATATGTTGTATATTATATGTTTCACGATATGTATATATATATATATA